CCCGCCCCCCCCCCCCGCCCCCCTAAATCGGGAGGGGGTGGGTGGCATCAGCATGGGGGTAGAGGAGTGCCTGGGTGGGCTTTGGGGACACTGATGTCAGCCCTGGGGACTCTGTGGGTGCCCTTGGGTCCCCTAAGGACACCCCCAGCACCCATGGGTGCCCCCCAGCACCGGGGGGACCCCCACAGCCCCTCTCCAAACAGGGAAAGCCTGGGTGCTACTGGTGTAGGAGTGGGGTCTGGGGACATCGCTGGCACCCGTGGGGACACTGTGGGCACCCTTGGGTCCCCTAAGGACACCCCCAGCACCCATGGGTGCTCTTCTGTACCCAAGAGGACCCCCAGCACCCATGGGTGGCCCCCTGATGCCCGTGGGACCTCCTGCCGCCCCCCCCAAAATCGTGAGGGGACAGGGCAGCACCTGGGTGGGGTTTGGGGACACTGCTGGCACCTGTGGGAACACTCTGGGCACCCTTGAGTTTCCCAGGGACACCCCCAGCACCCATGGGTGCCCCCCCTCCCCCACTGTCCCTAGGTGACCCCGTGTCCTGTCAGGGTGTCCCTGTCCCTGAGTGACCCCTCTCCTGTTTGTCCCTGTCCCCAAATGACCCTGCGTCCCCTCCATGTATCCCTGTCCCCAGCTGACCCCGTGTTCTGTGTGTCCCTGTCCCCAGGTGACCCCATGTCCCCTCTGTGTCCCCTGGTGACCCTGTGTCCTGTGTGTCCCTGTCCCCGAATGGCCCCATGTGCCCTCCATTTGTCCTTGTCCCCAGGTGACCCTGTGTCCTGTCCATATGTCCCTGTCCCCAGGTGACTCTGTGTCCCCTCTGTGCGTCCCTGTCCCTGAGTGACCCCATGTCCCATCTATGTGTCTCTGTCCCCATGTGACTCTGTGTCCCATCTGTGTGTCCCTGTCCCCATGTGACCCCATGTCCCCGGGTGACCGATGCCCTGGGGTGTCCCCAGTGTCTCCCTGATGGCAGCCGGTGACAGCGGGTGACCCCTGGTGGCACTTGGGTGCCTTCCACGTGCCCTGCTGTCACCCACGCCCTGGTGGCACGTGGCAACCCCTGCCTGGCTTGCATTGCTCCTGGCTGTCCCCGGGGGTGCCTGCTGTCACCCGGGGGTGCCCGGTGTCCCCGGGGGTGCCTGCTGTCACCTGGGGGTGCTCAGTGTCCCCAGGGGTGTTTGGTGTCCCCATGGGTGCCTGCTGTCACCTGTGGGCGCTCTGTGTCCCTGGGGGTATTCCATGTCCCCGTGGGTGCCTGGTGTCCCCGTGGGTTCCTGGTGTCCCCCCTGAGTGCAGATTGTCCTCGTGGTTCCCATTGTCCCCCTGCGGGTGCCCTGTGTCCCCGTGGTGCCCGTTGTCCCCCCGTGGTGCCTGATGTCCCTGCGGGTGCCCTGTGTCCTTGGGATCCCCGTTGTCCCCATGGTGCCCGGCGTCTCCTTGGGTGCTTTTGTCCCCTGTGGTGCTTATTGTCCCTGCAAGTGCCCTGTGTCCCCGTGGCACTCGTTGCCCCCGCGATGCCCGTTGTCCCCCCGTGGTGCCTGATGTCCCTGCGGGTACCCTGTGTCCTTGGGATCCCCGTTGTCCCCATGGTGCCCAGCGTCTCCTTGGGTGCTTTTGTCCCTCGTGGTGCCCGTTGCCCCCGTGGTGCCGGGTGTCCCCCGGTGCCCGGTGCGGGGCGTGACGGCGTGCCGCGCAGCGTGGACCGGAAGGGGCAGTACCACTACCTGGTGAAGTGGCGGGACCTGCCCTACGACCAGGCCACCTGGGAGGAGGACGAGATGCCCATCCCCGACTACGACCTCCACAAGCTGGCTTACTGGAAGCACCGGTGAGGGACGTGGGGACGCTATGGGGATGTGGGGACGCTACGGGGATGTGGGGGGACACGGGGACGCTGGGGGGATACAGGGACATGCCTACTGGAAGCACCGTTGAGGGACGTGGGGACGCTACGGGGACGTGGGGGGACACGGGGACGCTGGGGGGATACGGGGACATGCCTACTGGAAGCACTGGTGAGGGATATGGGGACGCTACGGGGACATGAGGGTCATGGGGACATGGCAGGGACATGGGGATGTTTCTACTGGAAGCACTGGTGAGGGTCATGGGGACACTATGGGGAGATGGGGTGACACGGGGATGTTGTGGGGACACGGGGACATGCCTACTGGAAGCACTGGTGAAAGTCATAGGGGGACACGGGAACACTGCAGGGACATGTGGGGGACATGGGGACGTGCCTACTGGAAGCACCAGTAGGGGACATGGGGACACTGAGGGGATATGGGGACGTGGGGACATGCCAACTGGAAGCACTGGTGAGGGTTACGGGGACATAATGGGGACACAGGGACGTGCCTACTGGAAGCATCAGTTGGGGAGATGGGGACGTGAGGGGGAAACGGGGATTGGGGTGGGGGAGATGACCCAACATGAGGCTGGGAACATGAGGGGTGGGACATGGGGACACAGGAAGGACATGGGGACACCTGCTGGCCATGTGCCCCCGTGTCCCCATGAGTCTCTCGGTGTCCTCATGCTGCTGCGTGTCCCTGTGTTGTCCCCATGTCCTCATGTCTGCATATATCCCTTTGTCCCCTCTATGTCCCTGCGTTCCCGTCTCCCTCTGTGTCCCCATGCCCCCCCATATCCCTGTGCCCCTCTTGTGTCCTGTCCCCCCGGTGTCCCTGTGTCACCATCTCCCTGTGTCCCCTGTCATATCCCCGTTGCTCCTGCTGTCCCTATATCCCCCTGTCTCCCTCCATGTCCCCCCATATCCCGGTGTCCCCCTTGTGTTGTGTCCCCCCCGGTGTCCCCATGTCCATGTGTGTCCCCCGGTGTCCCCTGCTGTCCCCGTGTCCCCAGGGAGGTGTTCATGGGGGAGGACCCGGCCCAGCCCCGGCGCTACAAGAAGAAGAAGAAGGAGAAGCAGGGGGAGGGACCCCCCGACTCCC